GACCAGGGACTCTAAATGAACTGGACCCAGGGTGCTCGCCAAGAAGACCAATGTCTCCAATTCCATCCTATCATCCTTCCGGCTCTGAAATGGTCTTGTCAGACCGAAAGGGCATAACCCAACAAAACAAACTACATTCGCTATCTGGATGCGTGGTGTAGTGGTTAGCGCTCTAACCTCGCGTTCAAATGACAAGGGGTTCGAATCCCATCGCCGGCTGATGCTTTTGGCGTGTTGTCCCAGTAAACACGCCGACATCGGCGACTGGGGAGCTCGAATCCCGCCGCCGGTTGATATTTTTGGCGCGTTGTCCCAATAAACATGCCGACGTCGGCCCCGTCGGTCCAACGACAAACTATCTCGTCAAGTCAACCTCGGCAAACGACCTCGGCCCGACGTCGGCTCGACGTCGGCTGGACTTCGGCTGGACGTCGGAACATGCGGGCATATCCGACGTCCAGCCGATGTCGGGCCGAGGTTGAACCGACGTTGGGCCGACGTCGGGCCGAGCCTCGGCCCGACGTCGGGCCGACGTCGGCATGTTTACTGGGCTTGGTCATTCCTCACTTGAATGAAAATTTTGCTATAATAACTATTCCAAGCAGTTAACAGGTTTAAGTGCAGTGCCAAGTCGGAACCGTTCAGCGCCGCCAGTCTCCCAGACGGCGCGTAACGGGCGCCGCCGGCCGCCGCGCCGCCGCTCTGGCAGGGTGTTTGACTTCATATCTCTGTTGCTAGAAAAGTTGTGGACCGATTTACATGATTCTTGCATGAAAAGATTCGCCATTCAATTCTTAGCAGATAACGAAAATTTGACCTCAATTGCACGATCCGCTGCCCATATTGTGGTGCTGCCATCTATTGACAAGGCTGGCGAACTAAAGCCGGGCGGCTATTTCCACTTTTGACACACCATGGTGCAATAACCCAGTAAACATGACGACGTCGGCCCGACGTCGGGCCGAGGCTCGGCCCGACGTCGGCCCAACGTCGGTTCAACCTCGTCCCGACATCGGCTGGACGTCGGATATGCCCGCATGTTCCGACGTCCAGCCGAAGTCCAGCCGACGTCGAGCCGACGTCGGGCCGAGATCGTTTGCCGAGGTTGACGAGATCGTTTGTCGTTGGACCGACGGGGCCGACGTCGGCATGTTTATTGGGACAACGCGCCAAAAATATCAACCGGCGGCGGGATTCGAGCCCCCCAGTCGCCGACGTCGGCATGTTTACTGGGACAACACGCCAAAATCATCAGCCGGCGATGGGATTCGAACCCTGTGTCATTCAAACGCGAGGTTAGTGCGCTAACCACTACACCACGCAGCCAGCTAACGAATTGCGTTTGTTTTGTTGGGTTATGCCCTTTCGGTCTGACAAGACCATTTCAGAGCCGGAAAGATCATAGGATGGAGACATTGGTCTTCTTGGCGAGCACCCTGGGTCCAGACTCCAGTTCATATAGAGTCCCTGGTCCCATTGCTGTTACGTGACACTTATTGGAAAGGGCGACCCCACAATGGGTTCATATAGCCACTCTTACACACCTGCACCAACGTTTCCCAAAGTGTCCCTTTGATACAGGCGCGGATCCAGGGGGGGGGGGCGACGGGGGCGGTCGCCCCCCCCCCCCCCGACATCCGAAAAAGGCGCCCATAGCCCGCGGCAGAGAGGGCGCCCCGAGCAAAACAGAGGCGACACAGCAAAGGTTGAGCAGAAATAGGGCGCCTCCAGCAGAAGTTGGGCTCACCAAGCAGGAGAGCGACGCCCAATTGCCCATTCCCAGCAGATCAGAGTCGCCCCAGAAGCAGATGGGCGCCCCCAGCAGAAGAGGGGCGTCTTATTACAAGAATAAAAAGATGCCTTCTGTTCAAGAGGGGCACTCCTGGCAGGAGAGGTGTCCCCCTGAAGAGGAGCGACGCCCCAGCAAAAGTAGAGAGGCGCCCCCATTCCAAGAAGAAGAGGGGCGCCCTAACCGCAGATAGACGCCCCAACAAAGAAAAAGAGAAGCCCCATAATAAAAAAATGGGTGCCACTGGCAGAAAAGGGGCGCCCCCGGCAGCGGAGGGGGCCCAGCAGGAGAAAGGAGCCTCCAGCAGGAGACGGGCGCCCCAGCGAAGGGGGGGGCGCCCCAGCAGAAGAGAGGAGCCCCCCGCAGGAGAGGGGCGCCCTCAGCAGAAGAGGGGCGCCCCAGCAGAAGAGAGGCGCCACAGCAAAAGTTGATCAGAGATGGGGAGCCTTCAGCAGAGGTTGGGCTCGCCAAGCAGGATAGGGGCGCCCCATTGACAATATCCGGCAGAAGACAGACGCCCCAGCAGCAGATGGGCGCCCCCGGTAGAAGAGGGGCGCCTCATTACAAGAAGAAAAGGAGTATATTCTGCACAAGAGGGGCGCCCCTGAGGCAGCGGAAGGGCAACCCAAGCAGAGGGGCTGTGCCCCAGTAAAAGGAGAGTGGTGCCCCGCTCCGAGTAGAAGAGGGGCGCCCAAGCAAAAAGAGGAGCCCATAAGAAGAAAAGGGATGCCTCTGGCAGGAGAGAGACGTCCCCCGCAGTGGAAGGGCGCCCCCAGAAGAGGCGTCTCTAGCAAAAGATAAGTGCCCCTGCAGGAGAGGGGCACCCCAGCAAAAGTTGGGCAGAAATGTGGCGCCCCCAGCAGAATTTGGGGTCGCCGAACAGGAAAGGGCCGCCCCATTCACAGTAGAAAAAGGGACTCCCCAGCAGCAAAGGCGTGCCCTAACAGAAAAGGTGCACTCCCAGTAGAAGCGGGACGCATCAAGAAGAAGAGGGGCACTTCTAGCAAAAAAATGGGCGTCCCAGATAAGTGGGCCGCCTACAGCAAATTGGTCGTTCTTAGAAGAAATGAGGCGACTTCAGCAAAGTTAGCCTCCCCATGACGGATTGGGCGATCAAGCAGAGGTTGGGCGCAAATATCTTTAAAACGGCGGCGCTGCGCGCAGCCGTCTTAAAAATATTTGCGAAAAACCTAGGCGGACGTGACAACGCACGGCGTGGGTTTTAAACTCTCGATTTTGACGACGGTTTGGCGCCCCCGGATTGCCAGGTCGCCCCTATTTCAACTTGCCGCCCCCCCCTCCCGAAAATTCCTGGATCCGCCCCTGCTTTGATAAGTGGCACTTTGGCAAAGTGACACTTGCCGACTGGCCTTTCTATATGAACTGGGCCCGGCCCTGGTGAGTTGCCGGGGCTGAGCCTGTCCAGTCCAAAGGATAGGCCGAGCAGCCCCCAAGCACTCACCGCACCCGGCTACGGGCGAGGTCGGCTTACGGGCAATCCCAAATGGGATAAAGTTTCCCGTCCAGTCCGGATCAGGGGGTTGCGGCGTGGAGGAAGATTTGAGTTTCCTGAGGATATTTTGAATACAGAAGCTCTTTATGAAACATGAAACATGTATTTAATATTTATTTTAACGCTCAAAACAGCGGCCGATGTCGGTCCGACGTCGCCCCGACGTCGGCCCAACGTCGACTGGACCTCAGCAATTGATCTCGGTCCGACGTCGGCCCGACGTCGGCTGGACCTCGGCTGGACGTCGGAACATGCGGGCATATACGACATCCAGCCGACGTCGTGCCGAGGTTGGACCGACGTCGGGCCGACGTCGGCATGTTTACTGGGAATGCTTGATTTACATAAAAGACGAGCATTTATAGTTCGGTAAAGTAAAGGCGTTATTCGCCGGTCTCGTAGGCACGGTGTGTCATTCCTGTGACAGATATGCCGAAAAGTGGATCAATTAACCCGCGCACCGACGGGGGTCTGCGCCAACTTCGCACCGACGGGGGGGGGGGCGGATGACCGCCCCCCCCCCCCCTGAGATCTCGAGAACGAAGCAAGATAGCGACAAGCGGTAAACGGCATCGGATACGCACGGTCAAGATCTACAATTTTTACTAAGGTCATTTTCAGGTCAGGACAAAGATGACGTCACAGGGGTCGAAAAAGTCAAAATGGCGGCGCTAGATATGGAGAGAGTTTTTCTCGAATAACTTTCGAATTAGTCAAGATAGGAACAAACTAAGGGCATCATCGTGATCCTCTTGTCAATCCGCATCGAATGATATATATGTTGACCTTGAAAGGTCAAGGTCAAAGGTTGACCTCAGGTCACGTGACCTCGAGGTCATCATGTATATCATTCGATGCGTCTTGACGAGCTGAACACAATGAGACCATCCGCGCAGCTGTATCTTGTTCCTGTACGGAGTTATTGGCAAAAAACCGCTGGTGACCTTTGATGACGTCACATGACCTCACAGCTGCCCAACAGCAAAACGGACCTCAATGTAGTGAAGGGTGATCGTATATGAAGTCATGTATGGTATATGGGGCCATTCCGACCCGTTTTAGTGGTAAAAACAGGGAGTTGATTTTTCCCCCATTGACTTATAATGGGGAGGTCGCGAAATTGACCTGACCTTAGGTCACCGATATCAAAATTCCGAGATATACAAATTGTAGCTACTAATGACCTAATAATGTCCTGCGACTTTCAAAGGCCTCCGACATCTACTGTAGCTCTGGCACGGTGACAAAGTTGCAAAAAAGTGACTTGAGGTTGGGTCATTCAAAGTGACCTGGTGACCTGACCTTAAAAGGTAGGAGGTTCAAACTTGCACACCATGTGTAAAATTGATGAAGGTATAGTCATACCAAATTTCGCGGCGCTACGCGCCGCGGTTTTCCCGCTATTCGCGAAAAATCTCAGGGGGGGGGGCGGATATCCGCCCCCCCCCCCGTCGGTGCGCGGGTTAAGATAAAGTACCCACTTACCTACAAACCTACCTACTCCAGTAATCAGCATTTCAGCTGAGAATAACAGTTTCACGCTGCAGCACTGTGCTTTTGTGCGGCGTTTTGTCAGCCACCAAAGATAAGGATAGTAGACGAAGCGTGAAGTGGCCACAATCTGTGTGGCAAAATGAAAGATAGCTCTCCACACTAGCCTAGCTGCCAGCATCAAGTGCGATATAACCCCGTATCTCTGCTCCGGAGAGGGGCCGAGGTGGTCCACACTGTGCGTGAGTCCTCTGGCGCCCGTCTGACGAGGAAGATAACCGTCTGTCAGTCGGTCGACGGACGTCTCCGCTGCTACGACTCGCTGCAGCCAGTGTTTGAAGAAGGTGAGCCAGGCTCACCCCCGGCACCGCCATGACGTCCTCGGTGCTTCGTGCGCTGCCCGTCCGCTATGTGGTGGTGGGAATGGCCTTCTTCGGCTTCATCATCAACTACATGCTGCGCAACAACCTGAACCTGGCCATTGTGGCGATGGTGAACCACACGGCGGTCAACTCGTCCGACTCCAGCGGCCAGGAGGACGGCCCGTTCGTATGGGACGAGAACATCGTCGGCCAGATTCTGGGCAGCTTCTACTACGGCTACATCTGCACCCAGATCGTGGGCGGACGTGCCGCCGAGCTCTCCAACGTCAAGTACATCTACGGCGTGTCGCTGCTGCTGGCCGGTCTGCTGACCTTCCTGATCCCGGCCGTGTCCTACTGGGACTACCGGGCGCTGCTCACCGTCCGCATCGCCATGGGGTTCGTGATGGGCGTGGGCTTTCCCTCCGGGTACGCGCTGCTGCGCGCCTGGGCGCCGCCCAACGAGCGCAGCACCGTCATCTCGCTGGCGCTCAGCGCGTGCAACATCGGCACGGCCATCACCATGCCGCTGGCGTCCGCCATCATCAACGGCATCAGCTGGGAAGCGGTGTTCTACATCCAGGGCTCGTTCGCAGTCGTGTGGTTTCTGTTCTGGGTGCTGCTCGTGTACGACAACCCGCAGCAGCACCGCTTCATCACAGCCGAGGAGCGCGACTTCATCGTCAGCGCCATCGGCCAAGAGGGCACCACGCGCCGGCTGCCGCTCCCCTGGAAGGAGGTGCTCACATCGCCGCCCGTCTGGTCGCTCATCGTCGCCAACTTCTGCAACAACTGGGGCTGGTACACGCTCCTCAACGATCTGCCGCAGTACTTCAACAACATCCTGAAGAAGGACATCTCCTCGAACGCCATTTTCACCTCGCTGCCGTTCCTGGTCACCTTCATCTTCTCCATAATCTACAGCAGGTTCAGCGACTACCTGCGCAAGAAGGACCTGCTGAGCATCACCAACATCCGTCGGCTGGCGCAGTTCGTCTCGCAGGCGCTCGGCGCGGTGACGCTGATCTGTATCGCCTTCCTGGGCGAGTACGAGGCTGCCGTGGAGACGCTGCTGTTTGTCGGCATCGGCCTGTTCGGCGCCGGCTACTCGGGCTGGCAGAGTGCCTCCATGGACATCGCGCCCAACTACTCGGGCACGCTGTACGGCATCTCCAACACGTTCGGCAGCATCCCCGGCTTCCTGGCGCCGCTGGTGGTCGGAGCGCTCACCGAGGGGCACGAGACCCTCGACCGCTGGCGCTGGTGCTTCCTCATCCCGGCGGCGCTGATGCTCTTCGACACGGTCGTCTTCTTCGTGTTCGGCAGCTCCGAAGAGCAGTCTTGGAACAGGAAGTATTACGATGATGCCGACAAGGATAGCCATATTGAGGATGGTGCAGCTGTGAAAGACGGTGGGATGAAAACAGGCCTAGAACTGAAGGATGTAAACGCTGAAAACTCACAAGAACAGGGTGGACTGGATAATGCGGGGTATGTGCCAGATGTAAAAACGTCATAAGACGACGAATGAATAGGAATATCAAAGATGGGTGATATAAGTCGAATTTAAGTAGGTGTAATATGTCCATAATGGACGCAGTGAACACCGCCTAGAGTACTAGAGTAGGACCCATGCATATAAACGTACGTATACCTATCTAATTTCAAGTGCACGTTTATTTCGAGCTATGCAAACAATTTCACAAGCGCATTTATAGATAGCTAGCATTTAGCAAATACATTGAATTATGAATATCATTGTGGCATTGCAGCATGTTTGTTTGTAAGGTTTCCAATGTTCATTGTTCAGTGCTATAGACGTCTGTCTGTATCCTCACAGTCACGGATGAGTGGAGGCGAGAAATACAATGGAGAAGTAGCGAAACACTTATATAAGGTAGTTTTTGTGAAGCTGGACACGCAACCACCCAATGGAGATTGAAAAGGAGCGCCTCTCCGGGGTGATCGTTTGAGAGTGGCAGCACGGGCAGTTCCGACTTGATGGTCTCAGCCGCTGCGGCCAATGGTGGACTCGGCTCACTGCATCCTCTCATAGGTCACAGTCCTGAAATGATTATTTCACTAAACTGAAAAACTCAGGCCCATAAAACAGTGCTCCAATTAATGATTTTAACGTTTATTTGCTGGTCCGTTGTAAGATAATAAAACTTAAGCATGGTGACTCATATAATAGCCGTTTTAACGACGGCCTAACTGTCGAATGCACCCAGTTTGACCAAATCTGCACCAAATCTCTTTTACAGCAAACATCTTAATAACGATGAATTTATTTCAGGGTTTTAATCGATAATACCTAATGGCCGTTTTCACGACGGAATAGCAGGCATCTATTTAATCCCCATTTGATCCTTTGGTTCCTCAGGAATTTTAGTAGTTCTTTTTAGTAGGTTCCCCAGCTTTCGAATGAATTGTGCGTTAGTTTGCTATTTTTCTATTAAATATCACATCGATTTACTTTATCTAAGGATTTATCACTAATATCAACATAAAGCGTAAGCACAATTATAAAATTATGAAATTATTAAATACTAGTACAATAGTTAAAGAAAAGATACTGAGTTGCCAGGCTACAAAGAATATATTCATTTATGGCGCACGACAGACATTTAGAAAGCAGCGCCGCATATTTACGTCTGGACAACGAGTTGCGTTGGAGAGGCCGGAAATAGTGGCGATTTTAGGACCGCGAGAATGGACCGCCATTGGAATGATTCTTTTTTAAACCGTGCACTGTTTTCGGCCGGAATTTAATAGTTACTACAAAATATTTTGTAATTACGTTTCCACCAAGAACGAATGCCATCAGGGCTAAATTTTCAATATTATTGCATTTTGTCAAGAAGCATATAGTGCTGTGATATTGCAGTTTTAGCGCGTTTGTTACAAAATATGAAGCGAATAAGCGTCAGTGTAATTCATCATCAACAGTGATCAACAGTGCCAGAAGTTAACTTGAGGGAAAGCTATGCTAATTGCTCTTATCCATTCGCTAAAATTTATTAATTTTTTTGCTTTGTGTATTCCAAAAGGAGAGGGAACTATTTCATTTGTGCCTTCATGTCAGAATTGAAGGTGGATCATTAAATTTTCAACGCAGTTTACAAACAAGCATTTGGTCTTTCTCGTTTATAAGCAGTGGCTAAGAAAAGGTTGATCAATCCTGAAGTTCAGTCATCGTACCTCAATTTCGCAGCAAGATCCCCCAAGGACAGAGGATATATCAGTAGGTGGAACTATGGTCATGAGTACCCAAATATAGGAACGTTCCCATTTTTGGGAACGGAGTTCCCAAATATGGGAACGGGCGTTCCCATTTATGAGAACGGAAGGTAATTTTTCGGCCGTTCGCCCACTAAAACTCATTAGTGCATCACGTCTCAAAAAAGTGCACGCTAATTTAAGTATCTACTAAATGTCTATAAAATTATCTTTAATCTGACCGTTGAACAAGGAAATTGACCGTCGAATGATATTTTTAATGATTTTTTTGAAATGACGGAATGGTGAAAACATGGGTTATACTACATTTAACATGCAATTTAAAGGAAAATGAAGCGTTTTTTACATTTTGAGGTCAAGTATAATAATTTTCGCCTGGTTATGAAGTTTCATACTAGCGACACCAGATGCTGACATATGCAAGCGAACACGCGGACAGTCCCGAGGTAATATTGTTGACTTTTGGTCTCGGGGCGCACGACCGCGTGGAACGTCAGTGATTTTACCGAACTACTGTTGTAAACTCAGTTTCAGTGGTTTAAAATTATTCAGCTGTATTTTATCAGCCTGGAAAGACATATTTTATTTGGATGCTAGCTGTTTAGCATTGTTTTATAAGGAGCGTCATGAGCGTGGTTTTTGTCTTCCGTGTTTCTAAGCATGATCGTTTTGGGGGAATTTCTCTTATATAGGTCGCTCTGTGTGGCTTATTTATAATTTTTATGCTGATTTCGATCATTCCTCGTGCCCATCCTACCAGGCCTTTTGCCACTTACACTTATTAAGAAAGGAAAAAACTAGATTTTCCATGGGACTAGGTGTTTTGAGGGTGTAACATATTCAGCGTTCCCATTTTTGGATACTTCCTTGTGCTCGTCAACTATCGGTGATAAACAGACAGGTGCTTGACATGTCTCCACCCTCGACGCGGACGGTGGATATAGGTATAGAAGACCTTGTTGAACATCGCTGAGCGTTGTGAATTACGTAATCCTGCAGAGGGGGGCGTGCCCGCTGCGAGATCGACGGGAATAAAAGCGCAGAAGACCGGGCGAAACATGCGACGGTCTTGCCGGAAAGGTCATGTGATGATTGTTGCTTAACAATAATTTGCGGCGTTGGACATGATGCTTGTTAATGAAAAGAGCCCCTGAAAGGCGTCGGTGAAATCGTTCCCAATTTTGGGTACGCCGTTCCCATAATAAGGAACGCTTGCAGCGCCAGTGTACGAGAGCGTTCCCAAATTTGGGTTCGCGGCCCGGATGATGGACTGCTTTAGAAATAGGGGAATGATTTGAAACTACGATGGGCCTTACAATATCAAACTCTTTCCCAACAATATTGAGACAAATATCAGGCGGTTCACGATCGTTTTATATTTTTTGGACGTCATTTAACGGTTCTTTTTCTTGTTTTAAATAATTCCTACATGGCGTTCCCATATTTGGGTTTATCGTTCCCAAACATGGGAACGAAAATGCGTTCCCGAAAATGGGTACGCTTTACCATAGTTCCGCCTACTGATATTGTATACATGTCCTGTAAATCAAAACAAACAAGCATTTGGTCTTTCTCGTATATAAGCAGTGGCTAAGAAAAGGTTGATCAATCCTGAAGTTCAGTCATCATACCTCAACTTGGCAGCAAGATCCCCCAAGGACGGAGGATATATTGTAAACCTGTCCTGTTAATCAAAACATTTTTGTGCCTTCAAAGGCTTAAGTTACCCGTGGTGTCTTTGGAGTTAGGCTATATGGCCGTTTTTGTTGTATGTTTATGTGGAGATTGAATATAACTGTGACCCTGTGCTTGTTTGTATAATTACGGTCAAACAGGGAACAGCACATTCACATAACATACTCACCTAGCACCTAACTCATAGCTGTACCCTGCAGGATCTGTACTTGTTCATGTCTCGAGCATTAACAAAGCACTAAAGTAGCTTAGTAATCATTTCCCACATTTTATGAGCATCTAACATGACATACAGCAGTGCAGAGCAGCTTCAGAGAAGAAACACTTTAAATGCACAGACTCACACCAGCCACCCAATGAGCCAGTTCCTCAGTTGACTGTTTCCCTGGACACAGCTTGGCAATGTGAGCTAGCTTTTGGCAAGTTGAAGGTTAGCAGGTAAGATTGAGTTAGGGTGAGTACCTACCTATAACTGGTTGCTACTGCCATGCAGGTCTTGGGTAGGCTGCAAATATGTGTGATGATTGAGGTTAGGTCAGCTGTCAGGTTAGTCAGGTTCAGGTATGCTCATTGCTCAGGTCACATGTTTATGGACATTTGGCAAATTAAAAAACTAACAATCTGATCTAAGCTAACCCGACTAAACATACACAACTATTGAGTACTGACTATAGGAACTGAGCACCTAACTACTTGTGCCTACATCTCATACCATGTCAAAGTAGAGTTCCTTGGTGGAAGATTACCCTCAGTACTTTTTATCCCAGCCCTGTGAAGAAAACTAATACTTCTAAGCTCTGAGTCACTGCTGGCCATCCACAGGAAGAAACGCCGAGACTGAGAGCTTTGCCATTGTATATTGGACCAATAATGACTATCACGAATGACTATGAACACATAATATGATCACATTGTTGCATGGATTGTCACATTGACAATTTTACTACAATCCTTTTTTCAAGAAATACAGTGATGATGATTAACATCATAATCAACATAAAGTGGATTTAGTGATCCAAGCTTTCTCCTCCAGTAGCAATGGAATGATCGCATGTTTCATTTGCCAGACACTGAGTACCTGATGCACATTTCTGCATAGCATCTAAGCATAGTAAAACTGCCCAAGTCCATTCATTCTAGATTTTAACTTGATAGTTAGCACTAATTTATTTTGCTGTTGTAAGTTATAATTCAATATTCATATTTCATACCAATACATCAATATGCGCTCATCAGTCAACATTTTCTGGCATGATCCTGCTCAGCGTGCTCTTCAGTATTGCTCCAAGGTCTGCAATATTATAGCTTGTTTTTGGACAATAAGCTCTTTTAATTTTACTTTTTCTTGCTGATATATGAGCCCGATCAACTTGCGTTTATCAACCAAAATTTCTTGACTCGTTCAACTTGATATTGATATTGCTCAGTACTCAGTAGTCAGGACCTCTGTCAGCCTCCTGGATACTTCAGATTGTTTTCAGTCAACATGCTTCTTAAATATGATATAAGTCAATCTTAAAGGAAATAGTTCACTTTCACGAAATTATTTTTTTGCAACGGATTTATGATTTTTTATGTTCAAAATAATCAGCAAAGAAAATAAAACCTTTTTATAACAAAATATTATTTTCTATATTTTGATATAGGAAGAACTTTTCAGTTTCTGTAAGGCACACGCGATCCAGTATGAAAAGAGCATGGGTCCCGAAAATTCTTCAGAAACAGAGAAATTATCACAGCCACCGGCATTTGGGCGATCTGCTCGATCTGATAATGTTCCCCTGAATGTCCTAATTGATCAGTACGAGAATTTCTCTAGAGTTCTCGTAGATAATTTATCTAGTTTCTGAAGAATTTTCGGGACCCATGCTCTTTTCATACTGGATGGAAATATATGCAAGGCACACATCCTCAACGCAAGACACCTTTTTCGGGACGAGAAATAGAATATCTTTGCCTAG